TTTTTTACAAAAAATCTTAATTTTGCTCACTTTTTACCAATTTAACTTCAAATTTAGCAAACGAAATCTTGTGGAAAAGAAAAATAGAATATCACTATAATTTGTATGTCAGCACTATTTTTTTGGTCGGCACGTAATTTCTTTTTAAATTGAAGCTTTATACGTTTTTTAAATTCAACAATTTTCTACTTAATGTTTGACCATGTTTCTTGTCAAAGGCAAATTACCAAGACCAACTTTTGTTTAAGCTTTTGCTTCCTATTTGTTTGTTATCTATGCATGGTTTGTCACTTGTGATGTACTGATTTTGTAAAACAGTTGCTAGAAATGATATGTGAGAAATATGGAGGACGAGTGGATATGGCTAAAGCATACTACAAAGCACTCACAGCTTCAGTGAGAAAACATTTCAAGGGAAACGGTGTCATTGCTAGCATGGAGCATTGCAACGATTTCATGTTGCTGGGAACTGAAGCAATATCCCTTGGTCGTGTTGGTATGTGAATTGCACCTTGATACCACAGACTATAACAAATTTATATGTGCTCTTTTAGAAAGGAACCTTCTGGCATTGGTTTTGTTTAGTTCCTTTGATCTTATGTGTGTTCATGATTTGGGTTGAATCAGGGGATGATTTCTGGTGCACTGACCCTTATGGTGATCCAAATGGTACATATTGGCTACAAGGGTGTCACATGGTGCATTGTGCGTACAACAGCTTGTGGATGGGGAACTTCATTCAACCAGATTGGGACATGTTCCAATCTACTCACCCTTGTGCTGCTTTCCATGCAGCTTCAAGGGCCATATCTGGTGGCCCCATTTACATCAGTGACACTGTTGGGAATCACAACTTTGAGCTGCTCAAGACCCTGGTCTTGCCTGATGGCTCCATCCTCAGGTGTGAGTACTATGCACTCCCAACCCGGGATTGTCTCTTTGCTGACCCTCTCCATGATGGCAAAACAATGCTCAAAATATGGAATCTGAACAAGGTCAAATACCCTCCTTAAATCTCATTTTCAATTCATCCTTTCCTTTCCAGATCCCATTCTTATGCATTATTTTGTGATGATATATGGTTTTGGCATTGGCAAGCATTATTTATCCACACACTGTTATATAGGATCCCTTTTGCCTTCTTTGGATAATTGAGCAACTGAGCTTTTGCCAATACACTTATGTATGTGTGCAATGTTTCTTTAATGATGTTGCTTAAAAGTAAATTGATCAAGTACCTTAAATGAAATATGTTTTTTGCACAATGAAAGTGAGAATTTTTGTCATTGTATTTGATTTCGGGTAATATTTTTTTTCAGTTTATATAGAAGAGAATATAGTGAGACAGAGTTAATTGTATGCAATTAATTATTTGATATGGGTGTCAAATACAAATACCGAAACTAATGATCAGATTGGAAACTAAAACTGCTGTGTTTTTTCCTTTTGATACAGTACACTGGAGTTCTAGGTGTGTTTAATTGCCAAGGAGGAGGCTGGTGCCGTGAGTCTAGGTCCAACAAATGTGCAGCTGAGTTTTCTCACAAGGTATCAACCAAGGCCAATCCAAAAGACATTGAGTGGGATAGTGGAAGCAACCCAATTTCCATTGAAGGGGTGGAACTTTTCGCCTTGTATTTCAGCCAAGCCAAGAAGCTCATCCTCTCAGCACCTTCTGACATTGAAGAGATTTCCTTGGAACCATTCAATTTTGAGCTTATAACAGTTTCCCCTGTGACTGTCTTGTCTGGGAAGTCCGTGAAGTTTGCTCCTATTGGTTTGGTGAATATGCTGAACACTGGTGGAGCAGTCCAGTCCTTGACTTTTGATGATGCTCAAAATTTGGTGGAAGTTGGAATAAGAGGCACTGGGGAGATGAGGGTCTATGCTTCAGAGAGACCAAGCACTTGTAGAATTGATGGAAAAGAAGTTGATTTCGAATATGAAGGATTCATGGTCAAAATTCAAGTGCCATGGCCTTCTTCAATATTGTCCACTGTTCAGTTTGCATTCTGAGCTAGGGAGTTATTTTATTTTTTTGAATTATCGTCCATAGTAAATGATATCAAGGGGCCTTTTATCCCTTATTAGAATGTTTCATAACTTGCTTTTATAGTTTTTCCTCCAATGCTTCTTATGGGAGCAATACATTGATCTGATAATTTAGTCAATAAGTTTCTTTTGCATCCAATGAATGTCACTTTCTCTTGATTATACCTTTGTTTCTCCTTCAAACACTCTTGTGCTCTTATCTTCCACTGATCAGTCATTTGCTACTGTTGAATACGTTTGAGCTATCATTCAATCTTGTGCTTTGAGATTTGGAAGAGTTTGACCATATCAGAAAACACTTTTAATGATGTGGTTGGTAGCTAGAAACGCATGATTTAGTAGTTGTGTAAAAATGTTTTATACTATAATATGTTTAACTCATTGGATGGATTTTTTAAAAATGCAGAATATATACATTATATGGTTGGCTTTGTTTGTTTAGAAGTTAATTTCTCCCATTACCTAGCAATATTTTTGAAACATTGGAAATACAGTTTCCGTGCTTTCTGGTAAGAACATACTGCAGAAGAATATATAAGACAAGAATAAGATGGTATTATTAGGTAATGCATATCATGTATTTTAAGTCTAGGAATTAACTTATAGCAAACTAAGGGATACATTAGGCCTTTACCTGAGATTCTTTCCTCCAGTTATAGACAGGAATAACAGGATCCATTTTTGGATTATATCAGTCTTCTTTGGTGTCAGCAAGGCTGTTTATAGTGTAATGCAAAAACATTTAAATTGCAGGCAAATAAATTACCAAGCTTAACAAAAATTTCCGCTTTCATATCAGGAAATTTAACCTCTCAAAATTTGTTGTACGAGGAATTGTACTTTTAGTGTCACTAACTTCACTCAGTGCTATAATTTAAAAAGAAAATTGAGATTTCAGTTTTAAGTCATGGATGATACAAATTGAAAGATGGGGTAACATTATATGTGCTGAAGCATAATGCAAGTGTGTATCCTCACCTGTCCACAAAACTAGTTGATGTTGACATGATGTAGTCATATGTATAGGTGAAGTTGTATAAAGGTATACAGCTGAAAAGAAATCAATTAACTGAAATATGGTAAGGTGCTTGGCTCAAGCATAGAGAAAACATCAATGTCATTTATTCTATCAAATAATTAAGCAAACTGAAGAAAACCATACTTTCAAAACTGTGACCAACTGCTGAGTAGTTATAGTGTAAGTCCAGAAAGTGATATGCAACAAATTACCTAACCATGCTCTGGATGTAGCACAGTAAATCCAACATTTAAATCAAAATATTCAATATATTCTAAATGGCACAGCTACAGAAATTTCTAGAAAGAGTAAAGGAAGTTAATCTTTTAGGATTCAACTGTTAGCCAGCAAGGTAGATGTTTCCCAAATTTGTTAATTTAAAAATAAAAAAGTGCACTCAATTGCTTGCATCGTTATTGGGAACCATCTTTGCTGTTGGGATATATATATATATATATATATATATATATGCATACATAGCTGCTTCAGACCACGTGAAACTATGTATAATATAGTTATATTATATTATTTATTTATTTAGTTAGCACCTTTTACGACATTTTTTTCATCTTCTTTATCTCTCTCTTCATTGTAAAAACAGTACTTTATAAGTATATGAGAACCATTGTTCAAACTATTTACTAATATAAGGCCTAAACAATGTTCACGAAAGTGAAACTTTTAAATGATAATATTGTTAATATCTTGATGAATAGTATCATATAGTTAGTAAGTTTTTATATTTTCATGGATGATACAAATTGAAAGAAGGGATAACATTATGTACCAATGTACTGATAATGATGAAATGCTGGTATGAACAGAAAGGAAAAATAACCAGCACTACTCTTACTAACAGTGCATTCTTGTAACAAACAAAATACCATGAATAAATCATCTCCTGACAATAATCAACTAGCAATTCAAAATGTTTCTAGCTCTAAATTGGCAAGAATTACTTTGTGTGATATATGGTTACGGCATTGGCAGTAAAAGGTAGAAGGAATGTAAGTCCTTCCATTAGCTGAAACCAACTTATACACCTAACTTTTACAAAGGTTGCTTTGTCTAATCTGTCTTTTCCAAGAGCTGAAGAGTGAAAGTTAATATTAGGTTATAGGAAAATTGCAATTTACTTTATCTTCTTATAAATGTTTACAGAGAAACTTACCAAAAAAGGACCTTAATATTTGCAATGAAGAAAACGAGCATTTGAGCTTTTGCCCGTACCGTTATATATGTATGCAATGTTTCTGTAATGATGTTGCTTAAAAGTACTGCTGTGTTTTTTGATATAGTATACTGGAGTTCTTGCAGTGTTTAATTGCCAAGGAGGAGGCTGGTTCCTTTTCTCACAATGTTTCATATGGCAGCAATACATTGGTCTGATAATTAAGTCAGTATCAGGTTTCTTTTGTATGCAATCAATGTCATTTTCTCCTAATTACCTTTTTTTTCTCCTTTAAACACTTTTGTGCTTTTATCTTACAATGATCAGCTATTTGCCACTGTTGAATAGGTTTTATCTATCATTTAATCTTGTGTTTTTAGATTAGGAAGAGTTTGCCATATCAGAAAACACTTTTAATGAAGTGGTAGCTAGAAACACATAATTTAGTAATTGTGTAAAAATGTTTTACACTAAACTAAAATTAAAAAATGTTTTAATATAGTAATTTGGCTTCATAATACTGAATTACTATTTTTATAAATGTTGAAAATTCTAGATTTTCCATTTTTTTAAGAAAACTGCCTTTGCATAAAAAGTGAAATGAGAGAAAATGTCTTCAACTGTGTATTCTTATCATTCAATGTGTTTTCATATAAATTCATGAGTTTCAGATATTAGAATGAAAATTAGAGTGAAATTCCAAAGAAAAACACAGCATAAAAACATATATCAACATTATAAAACAAGTTGTGCATAAGTGTGTAATATGGTACTGATAAAACAATTTTCTTAATGCAAAAGTTGTTAACGTCAACATGCATATAGGATAGACCAATTGACACAGTCTTAAAGACTAAAATGAAAGGACAAAAACCTCAATCATAACCCAGTTTAGAAGTTGCTGCCAAGTGTGATCCAAACATAACTTGAGATACAAACTACATCATTACACTTCTTAACATAAAGTACTGTCTGCCTTTAGTAAAATAGAATAATGTCTGCATAAATTTTAAGGTAAGTTGTTGCACATAATTGCATTCTCCATTCTCAACTAAGGAAGATCCTCATCTTCATCCAAACTGCAAAATTAAATGAGAATCAACTAGTGACTTTCAATTTTTGAAAAACTTGAATTGCAGTATTAATTATATGGAACTTACCTTAGTTTCGATTATTACGGAGGGATTGTACAAATGCTTCAGACCATCTTAGCCTTTCAGCTTCTGGCACAGCCAAACCATCAATGAAAGGATTCCAGAAGCCATCAGGACCAGACAGAACCCAACTTACTTTTTCTGGTGGTGAACCAGTTAGGTTATGCACTGGAGCTCTGTTATTCTTCTCAAAATTAATTTTTTTCTGACTATCCAGCTTCACAGGTTTCTTCTGAAAACATTAAGCTAATTACATTAAATGCATTACCATTATTTTTAATGTCATAAAGTCTATAGTTTTGAAACTCACTCCAGCATATTGATTAGAGTGTTTGAAGGACTTGGGAGTGTTTATTTCTTCTTGCAATAGTGAAGAATAAGCACGATTTCTACAACTTCTTATACCACGAACAATTTTCTCTTCTGATTCAACTGCAAACTGAATCGAAAACATAGATAAGATTTTGATAAACAATGTAGATATATGTTGAAATCAAAAGTTACTTGTTGGTTGGATTTTGCACCTTAGGTATTGGTGTACTTGGTTTTTCTGCCAGTTGTTTTCCTTCTCTAGATTGGGTATAATTCTGCAAAAAATATAACTTTAAATAAAAATAGAGAGTACTTTAAGCCACAACTCCTCAATTTTTGTGCAGTTGTTTTAGGTACATTGTTGAACAAACAGCACATAAGGTAGGTGCACATGTGGCATAACTAATACTTCTATGTTGCATCTTCAAATCAAGAAAAACAAAATGAGCTATTACAAGTTAAAATTTTCAAAGGAAAATTGTGAAAGAAAAGTAGTCTGAAAAGGGAAAAGGAATTGAGTAGGAGCCTTGTTAGTGTTACAGAGTGGTGTGTTATGTCTAAATACGAAAATGTTCAATAGTTTCAATGTTTTTCCTCTCCGAAGTTTTTGTGAATATTCAGAATGACTCATCTTCTTTACTAGATGTTACACTTTGCATTATAAATACATACTTAAAAAAGTTGTAAAATATGAAATAAGAACTCACAGTACTTGTGTTTCCATCTTTTGATATCTTTGTTTCAGTGATATCATGATCTCCTGCTTCTTGTGCTTCTTGTGCTAGATATTTCTGAACAGAAGACAGTGATCGAAACTTCCTTCTAGTATTTGGTTCATAGTAATACTGATCAAATAATATAACATCAAAAAAACACTAACAATCAAATCCTTGCAAGTACAGAAAGAATACCATTTTTAAACATCAGATGTGCTAACTGAATAAATGAAGAACAAACCAGAAAAATAAACAAAGTACTTCTCTATCTTCTTTGCTATGATTATCTTAAAGGGAGGGTTGACTCAATAGGTTTAACTTTGTCTACTAAAGAAAATAACTTTCTTTGGTGAACTGTAAATAACCCTTTAGAAATCACTCACAATAAAACTGCTTATTTAAGGAATAGACTTCTCCCCCAACAGATCTTTTTTTAACCTAAACTTGGAAATCCAAGTCTTGACCACATACTAAATCCTCATGGTTATTCATCATCTATATCACACCATGTTAATTAATCCTACAATTCCTCCAAAAATAACATTATTTGCACAAAAGGGCACTGTTGAAAAGTTCAAATTTCAGATTCTCCAAATCTAGAATCAAAAACTAATTTCTCACACTAATATCCATTCAAAGAGCTAAATATATCCAGTCTAGAATCAAAAACTAATTTTTCATACTAATATCCTTTCAAGAAACTAAATTTATCTTTATAAGCATGAAAAAAATGCCAAAACAGAATGTTTTGGAACAGTTATTTGCAATCACAATGACAATGTAGAGAGTAGAGAGAGTTTTGCCTAATGAGGGAAACAGATCCAAAATTCTTTCCAAAACTGTATCATCTTTAACAATGGTGTTATGCGCAGATCAAAACTTTAAGAGTAACCCTCAAGATGACAGTGATACAATATGCATGCATGCATGAATGAAAAAACAATACTTGATGGGTGAAAAAGGGAAGATGTACCCTGTCAACATGAGTAGGCCTAGAGGGTCGAGCTTTTTCCTCCACAATCCAACCTTCAGGAAGCTTGAAATGTGATGAAACACCGACATGCAGATCCGATGAAACGCCGTTGAGAGCGTCTTCTTTGCAAGACATAGTATGCTACTGTTGTTTTGCTAATGCCAACAATACTGTCGTCAGTGTCTGTTCACTTTCACCTTTTACCTAACATATCATGTCTTTTATTGTCAAAAATATCCACATTTGCATTGCGGGCTTGTCTGCACTGGTCGAATAGTAATTAACTCTGTTAGGTTAAGAGGAAGAATCTTATTCAACAATAAAATGTAAATGTTTTCCATTTAATAGTTATTATTAAATTGTTTTTTTTAAGGTTCGGAAGTTAATGATGATACTCTCTGTCTTTGTTGTGTTTACAAATTAACTATATAGGACAGAATCTAGACTCTGTATTTTATGTTATGGATATGTAATATTGTACATAAAGGCACATAGGTAAAAAGAGAAAATAATAACAATTATAGATAGACATGAAAATACAATTTAAAAAATAAAATAAAAAAGTGTACTAGTTTAGTTAATCAATTAATATATTAATTATTAAATAATGATAAAAGTTCAAATTTGATAAAAAAAAACGTATTTTTATTTTTTATTTTCATCACACAGGCGTTTCTTTCACTCAATCTAAATAAAATATTTGTATTTCTATTATTTTTAAATGCAAAATCTTAAAAATGATATATATATATATATATATATATATATATCATTTTATATATTACAATAGTATTTATGACATTTTATATCTATATTAGAGTCCATCGATAGGAGGAGGAGATGCGACGAATGTAAATAACAATTTTCTTAAAAAACCATAAACTATATTTTTTATAATCTTCTGTCTCAGTTAAAAGAATTTTAAAATCCATAGAAGTGGAATGGATAATTCAATATTAAAAATAAAAAAACTAATATTTTTGTTATATAATAAAGAAAACTAAGCCTAAATATATTAATGATGATTTTTTAAATATTATTATTATTAAATAAAACATTTAACCCTCTCCCAAAACCTTCTTGTTCACCAGTTGCTCTAGGGATACAAGAATGATTGGCAGACTGCACTTTCTTTCGGTGAGTGGCCGGTGGGGTGGGAGGTTTCTGCCGTGTAAGAGGTTTTCTTTGATTTTTTCCAATTCCTGGTTAAATTTATCTTTTTTATCCTTCTTGCACCATTTATGCTTTTTTTCTCTGTATTTTACGATTTCTGCGTCTGCATTCCTGAACTTGTTATAGACTTCTTTTATGCTGTTCTAGTGATTAGATAGGTTGCTTGTTGAAATCTGTTTGTAGTTTTCTTTGAATTGCTTTTGTGCCATAAGTTAATAGGAATTTATGCTTAGCCTTTTAGTTGTTTCCCTCTGATGAATATAATTTTTGAGATCCTTTTTCATATTTGCTAATATAATAATAATAATAATTGTTGTTTACTTAGAACAACTCGCGATGAGGATCTATGAAAAGTTAAGAGAGATAGTGAAGATTCAAAAGTTCCGCAGATTGGTGTCATATACTGGGTTTTACTGTTTCGCCACACTCATAAGCTACGCTTATGTCAACAATACGACAAGAGCTGGTTACTCTAGAGCCGATCAATTCTATGCATCATACCCTGCTGGTACCGAGCTTTTAACGGACACTACCAAGGTATTTTCTTTTGTATGATGTAATCAATTTGAAGATTAGAGCATATTATTTTGACCTAAAGTGTGATTTTGGTGTTTGAAATTTGGTTCAGTTGTACAAAGCTGCTCTTGAAAACTGCTTTGAAGCTGAAGAGTGGGGTCCGTTTGAGTTCTGCATCATGGCAAAACACTTTAATCGTCAAGGGAATTCGCCATATGCTTATCATGCGGTATGATGCCAAAGGGCGTGTTATTAATTGCATTAATGTTGCCGAAAAGAAAAGGATTCTTAGTCCATTTGGGTTTTGCTTCTTTAAGGAAATGTTGGGAGAAAATATTGCATAGGATTATTCGCCCACCCCTTTGTAAGTGGTGAACAGTGTGATTTCTGAATTGTGAGAGTGACATAGAGTGGTCTTCTCTTGAATGACATGGAGGTCCTTGATTAGAAAATTTTGAAAAAATTCCATAAAAACTGTGTTCTGATATGATCATTTCTACATGTGAGATAAGTAGAAGTTCTGTTTGCTGGGTTTGATGTATTTCTAAACTTTTCTTTTAGTGTGTCAAAGGAAGATCCTGAAGTTTTTACCTGTTATATACTAGGGGCAAGGCTTAAAAAAAAAACTCTTTGATGACAATTTTGACTGCAACATAAGGTTTTTGGAGTTTTTGTGACTGCAGTTTCAATTGCATTTTTGTAATTTCCTGCAATATCAAGAAGTGCAATAAAACTATGACTGCAATTAAAATCTTGGTTAGGGACAAATCTAGTTTAAAACTGTAGTATAATGCCCAGGTTGATGACTTTCTCAGTCAAAGTAGACAGACCTTCATTTGGCAGGAGGAATTTTTCTCTACGTTTTGTATAATCAAACAATAACAGATATGGAAGAACTGATACAAATATTTTTCATAATTGATCTTGCTGAAAGCTATGACTAATAAATTTATCAAACATTAATAGAATACTGTTATTTTATTTTTTGGATAAAATCTTACATAAAATTTCAACCATGCTTCTGTGTTTGTTTAATTTTGTTACATTGTTCCGTTTCTTTTGGATCTCTACAGTGTTTATGGAATTAACAAAAGAATATGACGTGTTTGGCTTCTTTCAGCAATACTTGGCACACCTCCTTTCTCTTGGACAACTTGATGGAAGTGGTTGATCAGAGTGATTTACATATAAACTATGATGAAGTATGACAGTAGAAACTTTTGCAATATATGAAGACATGTAAAGGCAAATGAGAAAACAATGAGGTTTGAGTACTTACTGAGATTTGAACTCCCTGTGCATTCTACAGCACTCTTAGGAATAAGGAACAAAATATGTGTAGCATTTTGTCTCTTTTCCGTAGGGTAACAACAGATACTCAGCTTTCTTCCTGTTCTTTGATATTCAAACTCAATCAGTCTCAAATGTTTCTGATTGAGTTGTTTACAGTACTAATTGTCTAATGCTATCCTAATTAAGACTATTTTAATAAATGCTGGCATTTAAATGAAAAATAGTTTAATTTTGTTTTTAATTATCTTTTCTTTTCCATTATCTTGTCTTTTCATATGCAACACACAATAAGTATCTTGTCTTTTCCATTATCTTCTCCTTTATCACCCTTTTTAAGTGTCACAATAATTATTAAGTCTGAGTATGTTAGAGTAATTAAGTCTATTTAAGGAGTAATTACTGGGATCATCATCAAGTTGTACCTAGTTTTCTAGGTGTCTAGTATAGACCTTTGATCTTCCATATTCTCTTGTATCAAATTTCTATCATTATAAATAGAAGATTATAAGAGGGGATTTTTCAAGCCCTCCAAAAATATTTCTTCTCCTCTTTTAATCTTAAGTTTAGGAACAAAAAGTTTGGAATTCTTAACCTATTTTGACCACATTAATACCTTGGATTACGTAGAGATTGCAAACATAAGTGAATTTTTTGCAAAATGGGTAAAAAGGTGGGAATTAAACTCTTTGCAAAAATAGTATAGTGATTTGATGTAGAATATAGCTTGACCAATTTTTGGCTAAAAAATATAACAGTATTTACAGGGTCATTTACCTCTGTCTCAATTTCTGCCATGTCTGGTAACATCCAGTTGCAATGTGACTGGATTGTCTTTCACACACCTAGATAGTTAATCACAGCAATTGTGTTTATGACAAGCCTTTGTTATGCCAGAGTGGTTGTTCAAGTGGAGTTTTCATATCTCCAAGCACTAAATATTTTAACTATTTAATCGAATATGCATTATTAAATCTATTTCTTTGGATTCATTTGCTTATAAAAAGATAAAGGGGAAGTAGCTGTGTTATATGATGCATGTTTGATCCAATAGTATCTGAAATTTATATTTATGTTTTTTATGTGAAAATTATAAATTATTTGTTACAAAATCTGCATCTAACTTGATCCATGGTGTAACCCGCTGATATTTGAGAAAAATCTATAAACTCTATAATAATTATAATTATAATAATAATACTAATATAACTATATACAAAGAGGATTTTTTTTATCCTTTTAATTACTATTTTTTAAGTTTAAATAATTATTCATAATAAAAAAATATTTTTTAATTTTATCATTTTAGTGATTTTTTTAAGTTTGAATAATCATTAATTATAAAAGAACTTTAATTCTTTTATCATTTTAGTAACTATTTTTTTAAATTTAAATAATTTATCATATTATATTTTAGTAACTACTTTTTTAAATTTAAATAATTTATCATAATATTATTCACGCAATAGGACTTATAATATTTTTTATTTCAATGACTAAAATTTATTTTATTTATAATTATATTTATAACTATATATATTTTTTGTTTTTCTAATTTTACTCTTTTAATTAAACTAGTATTAATAATAAGAATTATATTAATTGAATAAAAAATTACGAATAGATATTGGGAACATGTGTTGTCTTGTGTATCTTGCATGTGACATTGGTGAATTGAATGAACAATGGTAGACCACCCATGAGTAGGGTGTGCAGCATAGTGTAAAATCAGCATGCTAAAATTATGTTTTTAAATTAATAAAATATGATTAGATTCTTGATTTTCTTTTATTTTTATAATTGCTTATTTTGAGAAAATACTAAAATTATAAAAGAAAACTAGGTTTTTTACTTTTCACTCTATCAATCCACTACAAAAATTATACTCCTTCATTTTCTAAAAAATATATTAATTTAAATATTCAATCATATTAATTTAATTTAAAAACTTAATTATAATGAATTTATAATTTTGTTTATTAGATAAAGTTTATAATTTTACGTTTATATGGATTTGTTAAATAAACTTTAATTAAAAATGGAAAAAATACACTAAGAAGGGTTAGTTAAAACATAGTCTCTATTTTCATTAATTTTGTTTAATGTGAGATTATTTTATTTTTTTTTCAGTTGTTCAATATGGTTCAATTTTTATAATTTAGATTTAATTTTATCATTTTTTATAATATCATCTAAATTGTTAAGGATAAACTATATATATTAGCAGTGTTTGAATAATTGTTATTTTTTCATATACATGATCGTCCAACATAGTTTTACTTGAAATTAATTTAATTAATTAGATTTTTTCAAAGAAGAGCAAAGGAAAGAAATAATTTTTTATAATAGTAAATTAATAAGATAAGTCTATTTATATTATCATTGGTTAACAGGTTGTTTAGAACAAATATATTTATTAACAACGGTTATATTTTTTTTCAAATGATGTATAGACAAAATAATCTTGATAAAAATATCATATTAAAAATAAAAGATAAAAAAACTAATATTTTTGTTATATAATAAAGAAAACTAAGCTTAAATATATTAATGATGAGTTTTGAATTCTCCAGTTATTATATAATAAAAAATAAACAGAAACTAAGAAAAAAAAATCTTTTAAGACTTAGTTTGAGCGAGGAAAAGAATGAAAACCAACACAAAAAGATAAAACAGAAATTAAGAAAGATAAACAAATAAATTTGTATTTAAGAGTGTGAAACTGCAGAAGGAAAAAGGATATTCTTGAAGAGGTTTTCAAGCTTTTACTTATGCTAAGAACTCACACCACAGCGTCTCACACCTAACAAAACCACAATCGATGAATACAACGCCGTTTATGGACAAGCAGATTATGGATCTCACTCATGGATCTTCCACTGAGCAGCAACACAGCAAGGACTTCATCGACCTCATGAAACACGAACCACCGCAGCAACAAAATCATCATCGTGAAGAAGACGATGATGAAGAGGAAGAAGAAAATGAGCGTGGTAATGGGATCAACAAGGACGACATCATTCCCAGTTACGATTTCCAGCCGATTCGACCTCTCGCCTCTTCCAGTTACGATTCTGCCCCCAATTTCGGTGCTGCATTCTCACGCCCTTGGAACTCCGATTCCAACTCCAAAGTAACTTTTCACAATTGCTCTTTTGCTTTCAAGCCTCAATTTTTTTTTGTCTTTAACCTTTTTGCTCATCTGGGTATTCTGTGTTTTTTATCATCTTTGTTTGTTGGTTTGTGGGGTTTGTTAAAATTAGTTGTTGGTATTGGATTAATTAGGGTTTAAATTAGTTGTTAATGTCTTGTTTAGTGATCATCTGTGAGGTTGCACTTGTCCTACTGTGATTTGTGATTGCTGTTACTTACACTTTAAGTATTGTTATCTCTTTTCTGTAAATTGAAAAAACTTGATTTGGATGCGTTGCTTAGAGATTGACAATAACTCAGATTGTGTTATGTGGTGATTAACTGGTATCATGGACACGCACTTTCAAACGGTTATTTGCTTGCTATCTTTCAATGCTGGAGGAGGATATATGTAGCTATTTTTCATGGGGTTTTTTGATATGTGCCTATGATATATTATGTTGAATATTTTGAATTGCTATAAATATTGTAGCATTTGGGACTTCTTAGTTTTTTCGGTACAATAAATACAATCTTTCCAAATGATTTTTTGTTTCTAATGTTGACTTGTTATTGACATACATTAGTGAACTGTTTCATTATTGTTTGCTGCATTTAAAATTTTTCATATTTGAATGTTTTTGTAAATTCTATCTTGGCTAGTGCTTAGAGAAAATGGAAGTTGTGTTTTTGTGAAATCTGGGGGTTCAGCATTGGAAGTTAGGCTGAGCCAATTGTGGTTTCTATCAAAATGCCACTATCCAGCTTGAGTTTACCATAAAATTCTATGGACATGGATTCCCCGCTTTCACATACTAAGGGTTATTTCACATACTGCATGAAAATTGACTGGGTTAGATCTTGGATACTTATTTTAATTTAGGTTTATCAACAAGAAATAAAGTCATTTGATCGACATTTGATGATTCTAATTAGCTGAATGTGCTAATGCCAATCCAAAGTTGTATAGCCTGTTGGTGTGGCTTGTTAAATTGGGGCCTTGTGTTCATAAAATCTTTATTTTCTGTTTGTAAAATACTAATGCTGTTAAGATACTTGCTGTCTAGACTGGGTTCCAAATATTAGTTATCTATGAGTAAGTTGTTAAAGCCCAATATAGCACAGCATGATAGTGGCAGATTGGCTGACAGCTTCTATTTGAAGACTATGCATAGTTTTTACATGTCATGACTACTACAGTGTCCTAGATGGCGGTCAGATTAGCTGTGATAGTGTGATTCACCGTTTTATTTATCATTTACGACTCAAATTTGAGTTTTCCTCTCAGTTTAATAGGTTTAGTTGCCATTTTACTTTATTGTTTTATCAAGGTTTTGTGTATTTGAATAATAGGGTAATGATTCATTTGTAGTGTTGTGTAGGAGGAGTAATAACTCCTTGTACTGTCATTATGGTTTTTATCTTCACAAATTTTATGTATCCATCCTTATTTTGTGCAGAATTACAGTTCTCTGGATTCATTGGAACCTGCAAAGGTGATTGTAGAAAAGGACCGAAGTGCTTCTGATGCTTCAATGTTGTCTGACATTGATCGCACGATGAAGAAGCATATGGACAATATGCTCAATGTACTGGAAGGTGTCAGTGCACGGTTAACACAACTAGAAACTAGAACCCACCATCTTGAAAATTCCGTGGATGATTTAAAGGTATCTGTCGGGAATAATCATGGTAGCACTGATGGAAAATTGAGGCAACTGGAGAATATTCTTCGAGAGGTACTTTATCTATCATCCTCCATTTCCTGTTCCCTTCTAGCCTTAATAATTAGTAATATTTTATTTATGCTGAATGAGTTCAAAGGTTGACGTATCCTAATCCTATAACCATTTTTCATGTACAACTATTAAAATTGATCGTCATGTT